GCATCCTTGCCAAAGGCAAGACAACTCTTCGGTCGGGCGCGCAGCACCATTAACAGGGGGGGATGCTACAGCTGCGGTCGCTGCGGCAGCAGTTGCCGTCACCGAGGATGTCGTGGTAGCGGATACTTGAGGCGGCGACTGGGTTTGGGGTTGCTCCTGCACGGTCGACGCGGCAATAGGAGCAGCCGCAGTCGAAGGGGAGGTGGTGTCTTGGGGTTCCGACATTGCCAAGAAAATTTCTTGTCCTTTTCTTGGGAGCGGAAGTTGTCGTGAAAGGACTCAATACAAGACGAACCAAGAGAATTATCCCTCAATAGACAACCAAAGATGTCCAGGCTAAGGGATCTTTGGTTAATAAGGAAGATCAGGGATGAGGAACGGTAAGACGCGATGAGTTGGCTTTGACAACAAGTACCAATGCAACACGCGATTGTTACCGAATATAGAAACAGTTGTGAAAACACAAGGTGATAGAAAGAAAAAGGGGGGAGAGAAGGGAAAGACTGGGAAAAGACAGACAGGACAAGTCAGGGGGGGGAATATGGGGAGAGATAAGAAGAGAGGAAGTCTTGGAAGCAAGAGGGGGAGGCTTGGGTTCTTGTCCTGTGCGGACATCCGGAGCCGAGCCTTGCCCAGAAAAGACCGCTTGCACAGCCCGGCGGAGGACAGGGACAAGACGACAAGACCGGGCCAAGAATGATGCGGGGCTGTGGCGTTCCTTACTTCCCGTATTGGTCTGGTACGATACCGCACGTGCACGCAAATTAGGCCACCACTTTTCTCCTTGTTCTATTCTTTCGCTCATCGCAAAGTAAGAAAAAAAAAGGGGAAAAGGAAAAGAAAAAGAAAAAGAAAGAGAAAAAAATTGAATGAAAGAAGAAATCCTGCCAAATTGATGCCCTGGAAATGGATCTTTTTCTCAGAATGATCCCTCCGTCAGAATAACACTACCTAACTCAATATTACTCCCCAATATAGTGTCCACATGTCACCAAGGGGACTCGATCGGCAGCCGACCTGAAACGTACCATACAGCATCATTACCGGAGACCTGCAACCCTCAAGCCCCGCTTCCACATGAATGAAAAGTGATGGATTAGCGCCAATCAGACCCTGGAAAGATGGAGGTATCGCTAACCTGATTGGGTCAAATTTCGGGGAGATTTAAACGAGATCACAAGCGGTTCCCTGAAATTCGAACCACGATTGGCCTTATGAATGGAGCCAACGATGGCCTGGGGCAGATTCTAAATTACCTCATATTCGACCATAAACCGGGGGGGCCAAGAGTGCTTTTTCAGAAATGGTCTTCAGTGGTAACCACGGATACTCTCTTGGCACCTCCCTGTCTTGGTCTCCCGCTCCGTGGAAGTCTTGGAAGTGGCCAAGATGATGCATCGAGACTGCTATACTTGGCGCTTAGACTTAATAATCTTGCTGCCTTGGCTTTGTGGCATTTGGAGGTTCTTGAACGGCTGCTAAACTTTATCCCAGAAAGGTCAACTTTATGGAAAGAGGGCTGAACGCGAGCTTGTACGAGCCGAAGAGAAAATCAATAAGGGGAAGGAGATGAAACAAAGAACAGGGCTAGCCAATAGTTCAACATCTACGAACAACCTCTTTCTAAGACGCTAAGTTACATAAGCACCGTAACTACATCATTCATCTTTGTCATGTAATGCCTGTTGAAAGAGCGTTTGCCAAGGGATTCCAAGGCTGAAGTTAAGGTATGGAATTCGATGAGTTGGGGTCCCACGTGCTTCTGGAAGGGGAACGGCCATCAATCCAGATCGCTCCTTGAGAGATTTCACCTTCCAACACAGGTGCATCCTCCGCATGTCCCCATCCTTATCGAATGCTTGAGCCCACTTTTCCTTTGCAAACTAATTTGGACATGGCAATCACGTCGCTCACCGAGATCCAGACGGAGTTGAAACCTCTCCTAATCTTCGTCGTCTATCAAAACTAACTTTTGGAAGGCCTCCCTGTGTCCATTCCATTTTTAGTATGGTACAGGGGTACATCGTTTATCTGTAAGAAATACACGTATCAACTTGTTGTATAGTACCGTAGGCTCTCAGTACTAGCTTTTGCAACACCGTGTGACAAGGCTCAGGTAGAAGACGCTGTCAGCTGCATTCCATACACGTTCTTTTACGTGTGTTGGTGTCCTACAAGATCTTAGTCGGAAATCCTTGTTAGGATACGATCATTGATGACAGGTTGGAAGACCGCAGCAAAAACGCACAAGGCTGTTCGTAAGGGAATTTCTCCCATCACATAATCATGTCACTCAATCAGAAAGCCGGAATTCGTTTGTAAAGTTCTTCGAGTCCATGTTGCAAGTCTTTAGGGTCTCGGATGACAAGCTACACTACTAAATGGCGTCTCTGACTTAGAAACTGTACTCCGTATTGAGTCTGATCTTCCTCCTAGTATGATAATAGGTTAATTTCGCTTCTGCCAGGTCCGTTACACTCCCTTGCTACGATACTGAACCTTTGGGCTGGGTGCGACCCCGAGGGTCCAACGGGTGGTAATAAATTTACCCCGTACGATACCGGTATGTTTTCGGGAGAATCTCCTGCGTTTGACGGAGAAACCAATCCCGCTGATGGTCTCTGGGCCGGTGAGTTACTCTTACTTGATCGAGAGCTTGAATACACTTGGTTTTCTCTGAAAAGAGCAGGCAAAGAAATATATATATATATATATATAGTCATGTCCTAAACTAATTACACTCGCAACTAGTATCCCGGCTGACAGCACCGTTTTAGCTTCAAATTAGGGGATTAAATAGTGGCTCTCGGTCAGTCATTATTAGCCTCAACACCGTAATAATTTAGTACGTGCGTTAGTTCTCAATATATTATGCGCCATCTACGATTATACTCCGCATCTATCCGTATTTCATAAACGAGAAATTGCGGGGCAAAAGTTAACGGGTTTGTTTTGGAAGTAGAGGGCCACTTCTCTGATGCGCTTGGTATTTCCCTTTTGCAATAGGGACTCTCTTCGTAGTTCTCCACAATTGGCTCACGATGGTGAGATAATTTGAGTTCTTTAATTTTGGATGACGGTCGCCACCTTTTATTTGACTGGTCTGAGATTTATCTAAGCGCTTTTCAGTCTGGACGAAGGATTAAAGGAGCACCCTGTCCCGTATAGGGTCCAGGTTTTTCGAGATATTGATGCTCTCCACCTCTTTTATGCAGTATTGAATAAGTTGGGTATCCGTCTGGAAAGGCAAGAAGTCCTAGAACTTCGGCGGTGTATCTTTAGTCTAGTTATATATCATCTGTAGAATACTCCCATCATTTCCGTTTTGCTTGGTCCAACTTTTTGTGAAGGCTAGATGTTCTACGGACTTGTTCATCTGATAGCCCTATTCCTTGGCTCTTCCCTATCCTTGTTAGCCTAGTTTTCGAACCATTGTTTGGCTTGCGCTTCGACTTTTAATTATCGCTTGTTCTATATACCAGAACGGGGCGCTTTTTGTAAAGATGAGATTAATTCTTCGGACCCTGAAATCTTGCTCAGTGAGTCGGCGACGGCCTTATTTCTGTCAGCGCTATAGAAGTTGAAATTGAAGTAGTGTAAAAGATCATAGGGAGGTGTCTTACTAGCTTGTTAACTGATTGTACGATTATGGCTAATTCATAAAGCTTTGCAGCTATCTCAGAGCTGACCTAAAGAAGAAAATTAATATGGCCTTGCATTAGTATGCTTAAATAATTCCTTGCCTACCACACATTACAGTCGAGTAGTAGCTGGTACACAATCACCAAGTTCATCTGGATAACTTTTTCTTTTGGCAAAATACTGGGTAGGAATTCTTGAAATGGCTATTCCGATCTGGCGTGTAGCAACAGTTGTTATTGGTAGTGAGAAGGAATTGGGCATTAAAGATGTTGTTGGACCAGACATTGTGAGAGATATCCAAGCGTCGGCAGGGAAAGATGCTACAAAGGGGCTAGGGAACCGGCGAGCAATCAATATTTATAATGAAGGGAATGTGTTGTTGCTATTGGGTTAATGAATAAATCTTCCGGATCTTTGGATTTTGTTATCAGCCCTCTATATGAACCTTCCCTTTAAGAATAATCTATGGTGGAAGTACCCATCCAGTAGAGTTAATATATTCAATAAGCACCCTATTTGCAATCACTTGGCTGTATAAGCAAGGGCTTTCTATGATACTCAGCGCTATTAACTACCTGAGCAGTAGCTACCAAGCCCATAGCAACACCAGTTTTGTCAAAATTGTAGGTATTCCTTCGATGGATACTGTACTGCATTATAGTAATTTGCACACGATCAAGCTACTCCTGAATAACTCTAGGGTCTTCGCATTCAGCCCACTGATAATGGAATCGTCACAAATACACTTATTCTAAAAAGCAGTTCCACTACCTCTGTACTACTCTCCAATTGTTCTTGCAACACTAGACAGACAATTCTAGTATATAATAGAATTAGGCAAAGGGGAAAATTTGATGGTGGACCAATCCATCATCCGCAAAACACAACGTAGACCCCAGAGGTGGTGAATACTCCTGTGACATGCTAACTAAACATCACCGGTAAGCGGCTGGGGTATTCCATATAATGTGGCCTTATTTTAATCACCAATGTCTCAACTACTTTTATAGTAACAGACAGAAGTACGGCAGTAATACGTCATTGTATAAGATGTGGCTGGCTGATTCTTATCTCTCAGAGGGGTTCCTATCTGCTAAGACCTAATTCACAGGCTTCTAGATCATCAGATCCTCAGCCACAGAGGTGATCTTTAAGCTGACGGCCTGACAGAAACGTGGAATATCACAATTTTGTTGTCTGACATAGATCTAGTGTCAACTAATGGATTTTCCAGCCTGTGATCCCATCTGATAGATAGAGAGAAGGGATCTGCGAACAGGTCAGTTGAGCGATGATATCAACACCGAGGGACCAGAGATCTCAACATCCAGCGTCATGTACTGGGATAATGCCTTGATTTATTCGGACGATCCTCCAAGACTATAGATCTTCTTAATGCCCTGTAGCATGCTCTTGAAGTCAACATCAAGATCTCGAAGTAGCCCATCACGTATGTCAAACACCCATCCATGAACCACAGGATACCCGTGTTCTTGGTAGCTCTGTTGAACCGCAGCGGTTTTAACAATATTTCTGCACGACTCTATCACGTTGAGCTCAACGAGGCGATTGTATCTTGCATGCTCATCCTGGATGCCGTCAAGTTCAGCTTCGTGTAGGCGGTAGACGTCGCGAATATTTCGCAGCCACGGATTAAGTAACCCCAAGTCAGATGGGGTCAATGCCGCCTTAACCCCTCCGCAGTTGTAGTGGCCACACACCACGATGTGCTTGACGCCGAGGTGTCGCACCGCGTAATTGATCACCGACATCACGTTGAGGTCAGTGTTGGGGACCAAGTTCGCGATGTTCCGGTGGACAAAGACCTCGCCTGCTTCGAGACCCATGATCTCGTTGGCGGGGACTCGACTGTCACTGCATCCTACGTATCTGTTTTTGTTAATCTGCTCAATGCTACTCTAAATCAGGACGTGCTTACAGATATTCGGGGGTTTGACCGGCTGCGAGCTTCTCGAAGAACGCGGGATCTTCCTTTTTCTTGGAAGAGACCCAGCTCCGATTATTCTGGAAGATGCGCTCGTGCGACTGGTGAAGGTACTGACTGATATCATCTTTAGGTGATGCCATGGCTCCAATATTATGTGGATGTTGGAATATTGGCAGTCGCTAACTCAAATCTTTTTGTAGCGGTCGTTACCTCAGGCAACTGTTACCCCGCTGCAAGTCGAGTTGTTTTCGGGTCGAGACCGACCCGACCCAAAAACACCGAAAACTCCCGTTATTATACTTGAAGTATTGGAAGTATACAAGAATACTGAAAATAGAAGAATCAAGATGCCGGGATGCGAGACGTATCTACGTATTCCATGTACTAGGATGGCAGCTGCAGCAGCGCATAAGGGAATGAAGGTTAGAGGGCAACGAGAGTGTAGACAGTAAGACCATGTCAGACCAAAACTACCAATTGATTCTATGTGATCCCATAAAGCATTACAGTACTTATACAGAGGTGGCCCATGCGTGACCTAGCTGTCTTGCCAGTTACCAAGTGGGACTACAGGCTGAGCCTTGTTTGTGTAGGCTCCACTACAAGTTCCTCATAGTACATACATCAAGCGCGACTCGCGGCAACACATTCTATTCCTCTACAGAGATTCAGTTGCATTCTCCAGCGAAAGCATGCAAACAACAAGTTCATCTGGGACAGACTTTATGCCTCCTTTGTAGGCAAGGTCCCACCGTGGGAGTATATATCTTTGGTGTGCTCTCCCTTCCACTGCTACGAGCCGCACGAGAAACCTACCCTTGAAGATCTAAGGCGGTTTGTAGATATGATAAACCCTTCTATAAAGCTGCATATGAGGAGGTTAGAGAGACTGATTTGGCTTGAGAGGGACTTATCAGTAAATATATAAGAGATATTATCCAAAACAGGTTTAGACAAGACTGACTTTACCGATTACCGATTGAACTTAGAATGGAGGTCGTATTGAGTTTTGAAGAAGTGGTAAGTATTAAGAACGGTCGAATGACTACAAGTATGTATCGGGATCTTTCACTGTGGGCAATCTTCAGACTGTCTCGAGTTCTACATCCAACGTCACCAATATGGGGAGTTTGAGGCATCCCGAGAATCGGCTGATCGGTAAGTCCGCAGAGATGCATGATATAACCAAATCTAGAGTAACTACAAGTAACCATAAAATACACAATATGCACGGATGGCTATATTCCCGCCCTAGGCATGCGAGAGGCAAACCCATTACATCATACTGCGAATATATTAGTGGTTCGAAACCAGGTCGGTGGAAACCGGGATGGCTCATGAAGTCGATGCAATTTCCACGTGATATTGTATTTATCCTAACTTCGCTTGTGGCGTGCGGAAGGCGCGTTTATATCATCGGTACGCAAAGCTGACATGGGCCGATCCACTCAACCCCAAAGTCTTATCCACAACTCTCCACATGTGTGACAATCGAGCCGTGGGGTGATCTCGCGTGTGTGTGCTGCTATTCCCAAGGACAATGTCTTGACCCTGAAGGCCCCTCGTTTTTGCACCCGTTAGACTACCTATTCCGGTGACCTGTAGGGGATTTCCTGGATAAGGTGAAGAGTATGTGCAAACTTGAGTTAGGGCTAGGGCATCTTGATCTACATTCTTTTGAACATTAACTCACAATAGATTGCCAGACACAATACCAGAATGAAGGAAGTAGCATTGAAACCGCCCGTGTGGAATGAGTGTAACAAATCAGAACAAATAAATATACAACTAATTGAATGCTTCACGCTCTCAAACCGGCACGGCGACACGTCCACAAATTTCGTCTTAATCAAAATCATCATAATAAGCGGCATCGACTAGATCCGCCTCATCCAGAGCATCACTGCTGCTCTGCATCTTGGCGCCATCCGTGAACGCAACAGGGTCCGACACGGGGTTGCCATCTTTGTCCATTCGCGTCTGAAGGAAATCCTGTAGCGTCACTCGCGAAGTCAGATTTGCTCCTTGGGCTTCACCGGCCGAGCGAGAGGCATCCTGTAGTCTCGAGGTCGCAGCCTGGTTCTGCGTTGTATTTTGCGGTTGGACGGCAGGGTCGGAGAGACGGAATTCTGCATCGGTCTTCGAGGTCGGCATTATGGCTTGATATGTGATTTGGGCTCTGTGGTAGTTAGTGTTCAGTTCTTTGGCCGGTGGTGAGCTGTCGTGAAGGGGGAGGCGCTGCCTCGAGATGAAAGGAACGAAAACAAACCACGTAGAAGATGACTGCGGCTGGTTAGATATGAGAGGGGGTACAGTTAAGATAAGTCTCGCTTTAATACCCCAGGAATCAGGTGGGGAAACATGCAACGAAGGTACAGTTCGTACTTGTGGACAATAGGGTTCAGTGGCGCACATTTTTGATACTGCTATGACGCTCACGATGTAAACGAAATCCCAATCACATTCAGAGCATGGCACGATATGCTTCGATGATGATATCAGGGGACTTGCTTTGTTGTTGCTTTTACGTGATTTCCTAGGGTCTTGTTTCGACTGATCGTGTGCATCTTGACCCCAGTTAGTGCCTGAGATTATGATAGGTGTCTATCCTTGCGGGGTGCATTCAAGGCGCCGAAGGGTGGCGATGAGTGTCTCAGGTACATCTCTCTTTCTATAGAACGATGTTGGGTCATCAAATCTTTCTGTTCAATAGACAATACTACTAGGTTCTCAAATCAACTATGGTGCAAAAATAATGGATTGCTGATATATCTATATCGATTGATCTGCTCTTTCATGTGCAGAGAGATTTCAACAAACAGACTTGGGAGAAAATCTGTGCACTATCGGGCTAAATCCAGACAGCAGATACGAGCACACTTGTGGCCAACACTATGTGGATCCTCGAATTGCAGGAAATATAACCCCATACATGTCCTATGGGCCCCAGCCTAGCAATGCACTGGTCCTTTAGGCTTGACAGAGAATTTCTCCGTGAGACATTTCAGTGGAGTCAATATCAATGATGGAGGACATCGTCTTGTGTCCTATGACCGTTGCCAACAGCGTATAAAGACTGTGACTCGCTGGGGTATGACCCTTCCCAGCTACAACAACATTGCAGATGGAGCTCAGGTGGTTGAGAACAACTGCTGGCGAGGAGGCAACTTTCTCTCCGAAAAGTGGGGTCACGCCGATCACTAGAGTGTGATTGTCAAGGGCGAGAGATGCTAGGTGGAATGAAGCATGTATCACCATAGGTGTAGTCGTCCATAAAGACACTCATAGTTGATCAGCGATAGAAGATACCTTCCTCATCTAGTCTAGTCTAACGTCCCACTCCGTCGCCCTAAACCCGAATCAGCTGGGCTCACATGTTCTGGACCGCCGAGTATATCGATTAAACCCTTCCAAGACACATCCTTCCCTCCTCAAGTATATATATATCCCTCGGCCTAGAAAAGAATGCTAAAACTCTCAACAATCCTCGGCTCCCTCTTCTACCTCCTCCCAATTTACATCTTCCTCATCGCCCCTGCCCTCCGCCAATTCTTCCCCCCTTCCGAAGAAGACCTCACCTTCGACCTAGACGATGATGCCGCCGACCTCGAAGGCCCAATCCTGAACGGCACCATCCTCAGTCTGGACGATGGCATTGAAGCCACCTGTCCCCCGGATAATTACCGGGTGCATCTCCTCCGTCGCGACCCATTGGTAATCTACATCGAGGATTTCCTCAGTTCCGAGGAAGCCGACCATCTCGTCGAGCTCGGGTGAGTTGCTTCCGTTCAATCGATTGCGCAGCGCAATTGAACATACATACATACATACATACATACATAACCCACGGCCACACCAAACCCACCCCCACAAAGCTAGAAAAAAACAATAAATAAGGTACTAATATACCCTAAAAAAAAAAAGTCAAGAAACGTACACCCCCTCCATAATCTACGACGGCACAACGGAAAGAGTCGACCCCAACACCCGGCTCTCCGACCGCGCCCTCCTCCCCCGCACCAACACCGTGCGCTGTCTCGAGAACCGCGCAAAGGCCTTCCAAGGCTGGCAACCGCACATGTACATTGAGCGCATGTGGGCCCAGCGGTACAACGCCTCCGGCCACTACCGACACCACTATGACTGGGCGGGGTCGAGCGCGCGCGGCGGCGACCGCGCCAGTACGTTCATGGTGTATCTCGGGGACGAGTGTACGGGCGGTGGGACGAATTTCCCGCGGTTCAAGAGGCCGAGGGATGAGAAGTGGTGTCGGTTTGTGGAGTGTGAGAGTGAGGCGGAGGGGGTGACGTTTCGGCCGATGAAGGGGAATGCGATCTTTTGGGAGAATTTGAGGCCGGATGGGAGTGGGTATTTGGAGACGTGGCATGCGGCGTTTCCGGTGACAGAGGGGACAAAGATTGGGTTGAATATTTGGAGTTGGTATCAGCCGCCGAAAAGGAGGAGAGTGTGATTTTTTTTTTCTTTTCGTGTATTTTATGGGTTTTGTTGGGTAGAGGTGGTGGAGTTATTGTCCTATAGATGTACCATACTATACAGATAAAACATACATAGATCTTATGCTAAATAGACACTTCTATACCGTGAGAGCCTTTTATGTACAAATCAACATGACATTTCATCTATATACGGATGATACTCATAACTATACGAAACCCACAAACGCCGCATCAATACCCGTACTCCGTTGCTCGTTACATTATCTTCGTGGAATGGCAAAAAGAAAGGTATCATACCAAGTCAGTTTCCGACATTCATCCATTGGATCCAATCGTCACTGGGAAGTCCATTGCCAGCTCGGCACGCATCGGGGTTCCCAAATATATCGTCCAGCGAGATCCCCAAATCAATGCCCATCCCCATGGAGTTGTCCTCAACGCCCATGCCGAAGTTCTGCACATTCCCGGATGGCATCGGCGGCTGCGTTGACTGCTCAGTGGTGAGGTTTGGCGGCTGGAAGTTGTACCCTTGCCACATAAAATTGTTGTTCGGAAGAGAAACCAGATCGGGACTGTTGACTGCCTCCCCACTCGTCGGGGTCGACGCGTGTGAAACAGGCGACTGTAACCGCGACTGGCTCACAGAAGGGGGGTTTGCGAGGCGCATAGGGAGAGCCGCATTCATGAGGGTTGGGGTGTTGTTGTTGGAGAACAAGGGAAAATTACCCAGGCCCTCTAGAGTCGGTGTTGATACCCCGATGGCGTTGGTGGGATCAGTAGCAGGCGGCATTGATCGCTGTGTCGCAAGATCCCGCCCGAATTGCATGGCCCCGCCGTCCTGCCGGAAATGGTCATTCTCCAAGGTGGACATCGGCTGGGTAGGGTAGGCAAAAGGATCATCAGAGGGAAACATGATGGGCATAAGATCAGGAAGGTTAGTTGGGTTTGTGAACTGCTGGCCGACGAATGGACTCGAGGGCATGTCTTGCGTCGACATGGACACAGGAAGGGGAGATGTGTTGGATGAGGCAGCAATGGACTCGGTGGCCTGCGTCTCTGACGGGGTTGATATGGCCTCCATGGATGGTTCGGGCGTGGAGGAAAACCAGGGGGGCGGTGTATTCGCTGGACGGGAATTCGATCGGCTATGACGGGGATGGTTGTCATCTAGGCTCTTGGGCATATTACTGGCCTCTTTGGTCGACCTGTTCAGTAATTGAATAGGGAATGTGCTCGCTCTCTGCGGTGGAGGCATCGCAGGCGGGGCCGTAGGGCTTTTAGCATTGCCCAGTTTGTTGCTACTGGACGGGGCAGGGCGCTTTAGATTCACCGGGTTCGCTTTGCTTTGGCGGTTCTTTAATAATTCGGGAAGATTCTTGAAAAAGCAGATGAGGCTTTGGGAGCACCGATCCGCCGCCAAGCTCTTCCTTGCCAGTCCTGTCAAAGTGTTCTTGCCTTCCATAGCATCCTTCAACACACCATCTTTAGCCGTGGGAGAGTCGGGATTCTCGAGCACGAAGAATAGCAAAGAGAGGATAGCAAAGTAGGTGGTGTACATGGTAAACCAATAGGACCCGTTAAGCAGACCTCTCTTATGCATACCGGTAGTGATATGGACGATGTTTCGGGAGACGCTAACGCATGCAGCAGCACAGGCGTAGGACCGCCGATCGACGCCCCGGGCCTGAGAGCCACTCGAGACATAGTGTAAGAAAGGGCGGTACATGACTACTTGTACATGGGCATAACTAATGCGCAGCAATTGCCGTACCCTACAGAAAGTTAGTCTTGGTCACAAAGGAGTGTAGAAGGTCAAATATACCTCTCCAGTTGAGGTGACACCTCGGTCCCAGGTCGCAAAGCCGCCGGTAGCTCCTCCATCCAAGCCTGGAGATCCCGCTCAATCTCCCGGATCTTGGAGTGACTTACAACATAACGTTGGTCTGACTTGGACCGGTGCTGAGCGTTTTTAACCGGATAGATATATTTCACCACTTTGAGCATAATGCTCGAAAGTCGTGTGTGCGCATTGGCACCTGCCATGAGAGGCGTATAATCTGACGGCGTGGGCAAGATGCCATCCGAGGTGATGAACTCCCCGTCGATAGACATTGGGTATTCCTGGTCGATGTCGTCATCGCTTAGCATCTGGGGTAGTCCCAGGAGCGTGCTGACATAGACATCCATCTTCCGAATAACCCAAAAGATGCGTTTCCGCAGCTCTTGTTCAAGAGGGTTGAAGTTGGCTGATACCGAGCGGTGCAGGCCCAGGCGTAGGGCAGAGCGAAGGGCAATGCCGACAAAAGAATAACAAGTGCTCAGCTTGGCAGACGATTGCAAGAACAATACCATGAAACAGATAGCCTGGAGAGAGGTCAAGTCGCGGCAGTCGGTGATCTCTAAGAGCTGCCGGCCAGCCTTAAAGTATTGAAACCTGGCCAGAGTTAGCTAATATAACACCTTAGTATCAAGGACAGACATACCCTTGGCCGATGGCGCTTTCATAACCGGAGAGATCCAGGGTGCCAGTCCCGTCATCTGAGAACAAACAACCGACAGCCATCACAATGTAGAGGAGTGGCAGAAATGCATGCTCCTCGTTGGTATACTGCTCCGGCAGGGTATCGTAGATCCGATCTAACATGGCGTAGAACGAGGGTTCGTGAACGAATCGCATCAGAGAACAACCATCTTCCAAGGCATTGTGACACAGACGTCGTGCCACATCGCGTGATGGCAGGTCATGGGTGGGTGGTAGTGATGCATCCTGCGGGGATTCTGATGCCGACTTGGGACTGTCCAACATCTGTGACATAGGTCGCGATCGCATCGCCGGCGCCGAGATATCAACGGTGCCCAATTGCTTTCGAAGTCGTCGGAGGAATGTGATGCCGGAGGTGTGCCCATGATAATCCCAGTGACCCTGATCGTCCAAGTCCAGATAACCTGAATTTTCCACCATTGATTCGAGTAGAGATTCTTCGCCGCAACAGTTATCTGATGGAGCGTCCGCAGGGCCCGCAGCAACGGCCGGGGGATTCGAGCCGTTGGTGATTACGGGCGGTTGCTGTGGCTGGTGTTTTTCGCGCTTGACGGCGGCTAGCATTTGTTCAGTAGCATGCTCATCAAACCGGGGATCGTCGAGATTGATGTCGGGTAGAACGACTCGAAGGAGCGCCTCGGCCTTGTGTAGACGGGCCTCAAGGGCTTCCACATACTGAGGGGCCGGATTACGGCGACGGTTCGATGGCTGGTCATAGGTACATTCTATCGATGGGGAGAGGAGTGAGTAACATGCAGAGTAGACAGGTATGGTGTGCGGTAGCACATGGTAAATGGCCGCAAAAGCACAACAAAGAGAACATGAGGGATAGTTACTGACCATAGCTGTATACGGTACAATGGGTACATGGTTGTTTCCCATCACATTTGATCTTTTTTCGTCGACATTCGTCGCAAGCGCGGGTTACACGGCGCCTCTTCTGCATGGGGAGGGACTCCTTGGCGGGTTTTGAGCTATCTTGGTCGGGCGACTGAAGAGAAGAAGGGTCTGCATCATCATGGTAGAAAACTGAATCAGAGGGGCCCGATGGATCATCGTCCGTCGCATTATCCGCCGACGCGGTATGGAAAGCGCTGGACGGAGTACCCATGGTGCGCGCGGTTATTCAGCCCAGGGGGTCGGGGATCGATTAAGGCGGTCGGCGCAGAAGCATGCAAGGGAGCGAGCTCCGACTGAATTGCGTTTGTGGAATCAGGAAAGTGTTCTGGGCGTCCCGAAAGAACGAAAGAAGCGCGAGACTAATTTGATCAGCAAGGAGCAATGCCCGCGTGGCGATCCGACCGTTATCGTCCACGAGGGTGGAATTGACGTTTCTCACAGGTTCATCGAGCAGTAGGAGAAAATGACGACGGTGCGATTCGTTTTTCCGACGGATTGCAAGTGGGATCCAATCACTGGGCTGGAAAAAAACGCCGCTTTTGCTGCTGTGGTTGTGTTTTCCTCGAGAGTAATTATCCGACAGCGGATGGGCTGAAGCTGGAGGAGGTGAGAGGTTCTGTTAAATTAGTAATTGCGTTCTTGGATGAGTCAAGCAAGGTCCGCGGAGTTTCAGTGATGACCATATACGAGACTCCAACAGATCAAGGGAGCGGCGGGGTCGTCACGATCAAATTGATAATAGCTATGGCTTGTAATACGGAATAATTCTGGAAGGGTTCTCTTTCTCTTTTCTTTCTTTTTTTTTTTTGCGTTTTTTTAGCAGCCCTGTTTTAGCCAAACAGTGGTCCGATTTAATTGGGGACGTCTTGGTACTTGAAAGTGGAAAAAGTTAGGCTGGAAAATGTGGAGAAAATGAGCTCAGGGAGGGCAAAGCGAATGCGACCTGAATACGTCGTGGTTGACAAACTTAGCGACGAGAGAAGTCAAAATCAATTTCCAAGACCAGGAGATCCACTGCGGAAGCGACCAGAACGTGTCTAGAAGACAGAGAAGAAGAAAGAATATGCAAAAAGCACCACTGTCAGGGAGGGATGAAATAATCCCTCATTAGCGGGATTGAGGTAATTGTCGGGGTCTGACCATCGACTAGTGGGACAGAAAGAAAAAACTTGGCCTCGGCGATCTGATAGTGGCTGACGGCGATTTGATCCTTTGATTCCTGGGCCCTGCCAGCGCCCGCCCTTTCGGGTCTAGCGCCAGACCGGCCTTGGAGGTCTCGGAAAGCCTTTCTATACGTCAGTGGGCAAACTGTTCCAATTTTTAGGTAAGGCTGAAGAAATGCTAGGGTAATGAATGCCGGGCGCAGCCTCAGGCAGGGATTTCCACCTCTGTCAAGGGGAGCAACTGCCTCAGGAAGCTAACCTTAATTTCCCTGGTCAATGGCGGATTTCAAATCCTCAGGATGTTTGTGACATGTACATACATACATACCTTGAAAGTATAGAATACCAGCAACCCCCATTTCATTCCTCTTCCACCACGTCCTCCGTATTCATCATTGCGAATGAAGGTCTTGTTCAGCTCTCGGTCAACCCGATTGCTCCCATTTTAACTCGCAGTGGTCTTGACTGATGCAGTGCCTTGGCATTCTTCCTCTTTTCTGACATCGCCACCAGACGGAACGTCAGAAAAAAGTACATTCCCCCATTCACAAGAATCTCATCAGCCGTTAGCAATCACCTATGGAAATATACAAGAAGGCGGTGGAATACACGAATGGGGTCTTTATAGATACCACACCACCTTCAGTCTAACGCCGAGCACATCACTCACCAGCCTTTGTCCCATGGCTTACTATCTTGTTACCCTGTGCTGCGTCTTCGCAACGCTGGGTTCTTTTCTCTTTGGTTATGATGCCGGTGTAATTTCGTCCACCCTTGATCAAGAGGATTTTCAGAATCGCTTTAATCACCCCTCTGACGCCGCCACGGGTGGTATAGTCGCTTCTTACAATGGTATCGGCCCACCTATAGACGACGTTAGCACGCCAAACATTTTCTAATTGGAATTTAGGGGGCGCAATTCTAGGTTCTGTTCTGGTCTCATACATCTCTGATCCATATGGACGGCGTCCCGTCATCTTCATTGGAGGCCTTCTGGGAAGCTTGGGTGCAGCATTGCAAGCTGGTGCCGTAACTGTCGCTATGCTCATTGCAGGCCGATTGATTGCAGGTATGGCTGTAGGCTTGATGTCATCTGCTATTCCAGTATACTGTGTACGTCTTTCCCATTTTGGTACGACATTGCTCTTGGATCAGGCTGACTCCTTCTTAGAGTGAGGTTTCTCCTCCCCATATACGCGGCTTTCTGGGCTCTATGCAACAATGGATGATCGGGTTGGGGTTTGTTGTCGCTGTATGTCATACCACTCTTATTCATCTGTATAGCTTTCGAATTTACCAGACTAACCCCGGTCAGCAATGGACTGGATATGGCTGCTCCCTTCACACCGGTGCTATTACCTGGAGACTCCCACTGGCCATCCAAGCTGTTCCCGCCGTGATCCTCTGTTGTGGTGTTTGGTGTCTTCCCGAGTCTCCGCGCTGGCTGATCGAGAAAGGCCGCGCTGAAGCGGGTCGAGAGGTCCTTGCTCGCTTACATCTAAACCGGGACAGGTCAAATACTCACATGGTTGACGCCGAGATCGCCCAGATCAACGACAGCATTGCCGAGGAACGACGTTCTGCCGTACACTCCTGGCGTGAGCTTCTATTCCAGGCTCGCTGGCGCCATCGCCTGTTACTTGGATGCGGCATCCAAGCGTTCACCCAATGCTCAGGTACCAACATCATCTCGAACTACAATCCAGGCCTGTACAGGACGCTAGGACTGGAGGGCACAACCCCGCTCATGCTACAGGGGATATGGGGTGCCCTGGCTCAGTTCTGGAATACCGTGTTCATGCTTTTCATTGACCGTGTGGGTCGTCGTAAGCTGCTCATCCCTTCCCTACTCGGCATGGGTGCCACCATGTGCATAGAAGCGGCCTTAGCCCAGGCCAACGGCGGGTTTCGCGACCCATCTGCCAACCCGGATGCTGTCCGTGCCGCGATTGCTATGTTCTTTGTCTTCTCAATCTTCTTTACCAGCCTTGGCCTTATCTCCTGGATCTATCCGTCTGAGATCTTCCCGACAGCAATCCGCGCCCGCGGCTCATCGCTGGCAACCGCTACTAACTGGAGTCTGAACCTTGTCTTCGCGCAATGCACGCCAATTGCGAGGTCGAGCATGGGCTTCAATTACTTCTATTGCTTCTTCGCTTTTAATTGGGTGGCCGCTGCCATCACTTGGGCCTTTTACCCTGAAACTGCTGGCAAGTCGCTTGAGGAGGTAGAGCATATCTTCTCATCCAGCTCTCAGGATGATATCCGACGTCCTGAGCCGGACCCCAAGAACAATGTTGTCGCTGTCTCGAACCCTGCAGACAGCGACTGGTCTAGGGAGAACCTGGGGCTTAGCTGCCATGCAAAAATGTCATAGTAGATATAGACCAAAATATGTACTAGTATATGTAGATCATGATAGTTTCTGTTCAAAACCAGGGAAGAAAGAGAGAAAAAAGAAGTACGGATGTTGTAACCGCTCGCTATATAAGAGTTGGGTATCAAGTACATTCATGGGCAAGAAAACAGACAAGGGTATCTATCCCAAAACTAGATAAATATAGTTATGCGCCGAACCACATAGGGATAAAAGGAGCGATCCGGTCACTCTGCTAGAGCAGGCATGATATAGCTCGTTAGAGGCGCACTGAGGATCTCCTGCCGTAGTTCACGTTCCCACAGAGACACAGGTGTCTCAAGACATAACGTCAAACATGAAAAGAGAAAGTCGTGGACAATCATCCAGGAATTCAGGCTAAGTCGCTTTGCAACCTTGAGCATCCGGCCAGCAAACCAAGGTCGCCCGTATTGTGTTTTGGCAGCAGGAGAATACTGCGTGAAATCGGGCACGCCTTGGTCCCCTAATGACGTAGAAGACATGTCTGGTGTCGTTATACCATCGTTGCATTCAAGCATGATCTGAAGTAAGGCTTCGACGGATCCACTCGTGTCAACCTCACTCGCTAGTACTGCTTGCTCTAATGTCCAGAGGAAGGTTTCGCTATGCTGCACGGAGTTTCGGTAATCCCAAAGAGCTGCATTAAGCATGATCAGTGCAACCAGCCGCGCGACAAATTGTTTACGGTTGCCTGAAGCGGTAAAGCGTAGGCCGGGTGGTGCGGCAAGGATGCTATACAGAAGTGATGTCTCCTGAAACGCAGTGTAACGCACTGAAGCTGGCGTATTGGCGCGGTTAGGTCGATGGGATATCGAGAGCTCCTCACAACGTTTCAGAAAGTCGATGAACTCGTCGCACTGATGCCGGATCTCATCCTCTGGTGACGGAAATGTTAACGAATTACTTGGATTGATTAATGCAGAGTGTGATAAAGCATCCCCAGGCGATAACAAAGGCATTGATGGAAGGGGGGAAGGCGTCAGATTGGACGTTTGCGTTATCGAGTCTTTCCATTGGCTTGGCTCCTTAAAAGACTGTTTGACTGAAGGGTTATACTCGAAGAAGAAACTTAGCCCATTTGTTTCATATCCAGATAGAATATAATCTTGCCAGTTGATTAACATGCCCAACCGTGTATTCTCGAAGGCCGCTGGTCCTCCTCGGGCCCGTATCATTTCCCTCGCAGCCCGCATGTGTACCCAGCTAATTTCTTTGTGCCCTGGACGAGGGTCAAAGTCCTCGAGACCTGCAGCGCTGAGACATGCAATAATTGCAACATCGGAGATATCACCTGGATTTCGTGTCATATGATCTCGGAGCATGGAGATTGCGCGGTTGCGGTGAACAAGTGTATAGTCAGTCTCCTCCTCGTTCCGCACCCAAGCCCAAGTATTCGCTGCATGTACGAGAATAGTGTTCTGGAATGTGACGGCGCCTTTCATTCCTTCTGGAACAAAGACTGCCGTATACCAATTATGGGCCTTGGCAGAGCGGAAATGACTACCATAGGAACAGGCAGGCATCTCATTGACATAGAAGTCAAATAGTCGCTGGCCCTCAGCATCAAGATCCATCGGCAGGGTATTGAAAGGGTCGGTTCGTGCTGCACTGAGGATAGTTTTTGGAGAAAGCGTGACATCAGTTGGGGATGTTGGTGTGGATGACCATGGGGATAAATTGCCCGACTCTGAGCCACTACTCTGACTTCCAGATACATATTTCTCTAAAAGATAGGGCGACAGCGGATAGCCTTGAAGCTGAAAGAAAGAATTGGCTGGTATGGATGCACTTTCAGCACTTGCGATGACACCAGGACCAAAATCTCGCTCAATTTCTTCCACCAAATCGTCCATCGAATCTTTGCTCGGGGCCACTTTGACTTTGGACCTTTGTGCTGATGAAGACTGCACATTTTTCTGCCTCTGACTATTGACGCCTTCTTCCTTTCCTTTCTGGGCAGTGTCCCCAGTAGACGTCCTGCCCTTCCTGGGGCGTCGGGTAGACTTTCGTGGCGCGCTATGGCTTTCTACCACCGTCTGCTCGGCATCATCACTAGGCTGACCCGATGCACGTTTTTGGCGCATGTATTGTTGCATCACATGGCGCTTGACCTGCGTCAAATTGCTCCGACTATTGTTCGAAGCGTCGATGAATTGCCATTCTATCGCAGGCTTAGCTGAATCCGTGTGGTCAGGCACACTTGACATGGTTTTGCGTTCTGTCAACCCTGTGTGGTCAACACTTCTAACGGTTGCGTTTTTACTTTAGTTGCAACTCGGGGGTCAGAGCTGCGGACTTCTTCGATGGTACGTCATGCGCTGTTGTGAGAGTTGGGCTTTGTATGATCAGCGGCAGCAACCCCAGCGCATTGTGAAACATACAAAGCCTCGATGCTATTTTGGGCCCCGCAAAGTGCGAGTCTGAACGTGGACTAGTCGGTAGCCAGAAGGCACAGCAGCAGAAAGCAAGTCAGAACAAGACGATCAATGTCAACAATCTAGATGTCGCGACGGCGTCAATCGATTTGGCGTTTCAGAAAGAAACCTTGTAGATCCTCTTCATTGATGGTTCTGTCAGTCACCTTATATAGAGGGCTGTGTCCATGAGTGTTCACGGGAAGATGTGGAGCTACGGGCAACCGTTGGAGGGAAACGTCAGAGACTCCAAACAGATGGGATCTGCGACTTAAGGTAGGTGAATAGAAATTGATCTGCGATTGCCTCGGCCTGGAAGCGACCGTCTCACTTGCAGAGAAGAACGATGCGGCTGAGACTATACGAGGTCGAATGATGACATGAGGCGACGCTCTCGAGGAACTAGGATGTGGAGGTGGCGGGGGTGATAAGAAGAATCGAATAGAAGAGTAATAATAGCGGAAATAAGCTGAATCCAGGGATATCCGTAACCAGTAATCAGATGTTTTTGGTGACGGGATTTGAAGCGTTGAAGCCGAAAGATGGAAGAGTTCAAGATTAGATGGGAAGACGGACGACTAAACCCAAAGGCGTAGGACCATCGTCTTTTCCGATTCGGTTGTGCATCCGTCCGGCGTCTAGAACCCGTCGTGATTCAGCCTGTTCCTAGGGCCAATCACCATTCCGCCCGGCTCGAATGCTACTAGTTGATCATCCACGCCCATAAATAACAGCGCAGGGTGGCATTGGTCCAGTGAGGGTTAGAATTGGTACCTGATTTTTGGGTGACATTCACACCCCCCCACATACTTGTACCATTCATCCCATTTCACATGGGAACTACTAGTACTAGTAACTAGTAACTACCTCCTTTCGGTATCATGCACGATCGCTGGTCCAATACTGGACTTTTTGGCCCCCTTTGGGAGTAGCACTTTCTAATCGAGTAATTGTCTACGGAGTAACCCTTTCTGTCATTGTTCGACTCCATAAACTGTCGCTTCTTTTAACTTTGGTCTTATGCATTAGCTTCTCTAGTAATCTTCAGTACTACCTGACCTGCAATGGCCGCGCGCAGCTTCTTTGAACGGCGAAGTGAGACTCACAATGGCTCTCCTGGACACCTCTGAGTTTATCTGTCTAAGCTGAACCAGGCTACGAAGTAAAGAAGATAAGTATGGTTAGGACCAATGGGGTCTTAGTTACAGAGTACACTGGCTCTCGATCCCTTTCCCTTGGCGGTAGAGCAGATAAACAAACGTTCTTGCGCAGTCAGTTATGCTCAACGGCGTGATCCCTTCGCTACTCAACCCCTGCCTACATATTTGGCACCAGAGTGAATTTGCGAAATGGTACAACGTCCCTGCTCGAACCGACCCCCTCTATGGGATCAATTACATCCATATGTAATGTACTTCATTGAAAGGCAATCGCAGTTTCATGAACAGTAGCCTGTAAGTCATATAACCCTGCGGTGTTAGGAACCGTTAAATTTTCACAGCCTGTGGCAAGCTATAAACTAAAAGAGCTGGAATTCTGTTTGATAAAACTGCTTGACCACGTCGGAGATAACATACACCGCCTTCATGTAAAGTCCGCGGCAGAATTGCAAATCTGAAAGTATTCTGAGCTCCCCGAAAGGTCCAACCTGGGGGTTGACCACGCGCGTCTATTCTCACAGCCCTCCAGTTCCTGGCGTCGAGCCTGTAGGATAATATTATTCGATTATCCTTAGGTCGTGTCGCCCATCTGTTGACCTCCTCTTACATCCTCATCGCGCAGTCGCGCGTTCAGCAACTCCGCATCGACCTCCGAAACTCCGTTGCTGTCACTACCACTGTCGCTTTTACCAAGAACAGTTCGTTGAGGGTACAATACACATGAGCGCTTGGATAGATTTCTCTGCCTACTCGGGATCGGCGTAATTCTTGACACTACCGACTTTGTGCCAGCTTCCATGATGCCTTTTCTGGGCGTCACGAGACCGACATATACCACATAGTCGACACAACATAATCTAGCGCCTTCGCCTTAACTCTAAATTTGACTATAAAGGTCTGGATATTCCTTGGATTGAGTTGATTAACATCGTTGTAATCGCTTGCCTGGGCAACTACCGCATTGTTTGAAGTTGCGCGATGGCTGGCAGGGCGCCCACACCTACTGGCGTCAGTCAGGCCCATGATCCCAATGGTGATAATACGACGGCTATAAGTCCCTATGAAACAAACCCGGATAATATACCGCAGGATGACCCCTTCCTTAAGCAAAGCCCTCATTACGGTCGTTACGCTCCGCGAGACGACGATTTCAAACCCCGCTACGATCACTGGTGGCAATCGGACCCCGATGCGGTTTCGCATTGGGAGAGCATGGTGAAAGAGAACTTGAGCTCAGAGAATTCTATGAACTTGCAAGAGGACCGCCAGGCTTATTCTGTTGGCAGTGTAACAATCCGAGTTGACAAGGACGATGTGGTCGACACAACAGCTGAAAGGTACTCTTGCGCTAACGCGAATGAATTGAGCGCAGCAAGGAAAGCAGAGGATGCGCTTAGAGCACTTGACGTCACCGTTCCGGTAATACACTTTTGTGGGACAGTTGATGGGAAGAATGTCACTGTGGAGTCCAGAATTCCCGGCGTTTCTCTAGAAGTCGCCTGGAGGTATCTCAGCACCGAAAAAATCAACAAGTTCAAGCAAGAATGCCGTCAGATCCTCGAGCACATGGCAAGCATCGATCCTGCCCCCGACAGCCCGTCGTACGTTTGCAGTGGACTCAACTCTCAGCTACCGCCCGAAATACAGGAGATGGAGAAAGATGTGTTGTTCCAAGAGAATAAGGAAGATGAAATCCTGTGCCTAGTACACAACAATATGACTCCTTCCAATATAATCGTTAACGATGACCGAGTCGTGGGCATTATGGGTTGGCGACACAGCGGATATTTTGGGTTCGGAAGGGCAAACACGATACACCGACGGTTCAGAATGCCCACATGGTCTTCATTAGCGGCGGCTGGTGGCAATGTTGAAGCATGGGCTGATCTTTATGAGAACCTCCTGAACGCAAAAGTAGGCTCCAAGCTCGAAGCGACTCAAGATACGCCAGGGCCACAAGTTAAATCCGAACCATCAAACGTGACTTTGGACAAGGTTCCTGAAAGCGATGAAATCGACAACAAGTCTATATTGTCTCAGGTTGATGGCGTAAACACGCCCATGGAACACCCGACACCGAAGAAAATTGCCGATCTGAAACATGGACGAGGCTCGCGAGCCTCGTCGTCTGATCGGTCATCGCCTGCCAATTCTGTGAAACCCACCTCAGGTAGGAAATCAACACCTGGTAGTGGAAAAAAGGGTACGGCAAGGAAGTCAACTGCCAAAAAGCGCAAGATTACCGAAGAAGACACTGAAAGTGTTGATGGCCATCAATCCAACACCCCTTCCTCTCGCACCAGTAAAACCCCTGGCGCCAAGAAGCAGGGCTCTGCATCTGTAGCGAGCTCTCCAGCACCCGAAAGCAGGACGAAGAAGAAGAAGAAAGGCGCTAAGAAGAGAAAGGCCCCGAAGAAAGCTGCAGTGAAAGAAGAGGAGAACGATGAAGAACAAGAAGAAGGAGAAGGAGAAGAGGAGGAAGACGCTTCAACAGATGAGAACGAGTTGTTCTGTATCTGCCGTAAGCCTGATAATCATACATGGATGATTGCCTGTGATGGCGAGTGCGACGACTGGTTTCATGGAAAGTGTGTTAACATTGACCCAAAAGATGCTGACTTGATTGACAAGTATATATGTGAGTCTCTCTCATTTGGCATTTTCTTTTGCTGCTATTATGCTGGCTGGTGTTTCCTCTTGCGATAACAGTTCTTCGCTAATATCAAACTAGGCCCGAACTGCAAAGAGCAGGGCAAGGGATGTACTACATGGAAACCAATGTGCCGCGTGCCCTCTTGTCGGAAGCCTGCTCGTTTTAACAATAATACTCTTAGCAAATACTGTTCGGACGAGCATGGTCGGGAATTCATGCGCCTGAAGGCCCAGTACCTCAATATGAGTCCGGCCCCCGAGAACAAGATGGAAGACCTTGGGAGCAGAGGCGGAATTCTCACAGCCGGTGATCTCAAGGCCGTGATAATGGATGTATCTTCAGCGGCGGAATTTCGCAAGCTTGGCGAACAGATTGTCTCACTACCACCGGATGACCCCGAGACAGACACAAAAGAGAAGGGCAAGAAAAAGCTGGGATTGGATGTCGCTCCTGAGGATCTTACATACTCACCCGATGAGGCTTTGAAAATCGAAGAATTACGCAAACGACGTGACGAGCTGCTTCATCGCAAGGATATGCTCAATGCGCGTAACACATTCGTGAATCTTGTCCGTCAACGGTCCAAGAGTGTACTAGAACGATTGAAGCACGCCGAACCTAAAGGCGGATGGAAAGATATCTGCGGTTTTGACTCACGGTTAGCCTGGTCTGATGAAGAGTTCGACGAATGGAGGCTATCGGAAGTTGGGGCGAAAACACTTGAGGATGGCACTCCTGAGGCGCTGGCGTCTAGCTATCCTGATACCACCGATGCAGATGGTGACACCGTCATGAATGGCGCCAAAACCGAAGAGGATGACATCAACAGCTTGTCTCGAGGGATTTGTACCAAGAAGCGCTGTGAGAGACATAAACAATGGGTCAAGGTTCAACAACAAGAGATCTTATTCGAGGAGGATACAGTTGATCAGGATCTCGCAAAGTGTGAAAAGGAAGCTCAAAACGTCGTGGAGAGAGCTGTTCTCAGGATGTGGGCTGAAAAAGAAAATGCCCAAAACGGATGTCAGTGAAGCCGATGTTAGGCTGATCCAAGAGATTATAGTGCTATTTTGCAGTGCTGTTATAGGTCATTTGCATAAATGATACCCTTGTTCGCGGAAGGAAGCAAAACGCAGGGATTTCGATATGGAGTTGGTGTGCACATTTGGGTAGTTTGGGCCACGGTTGCTATTTTCGACGAGGCTGGCGTAAGATTTGATACTATATACAAATAAATGGGCTGCTTGATATATAATAGTGCAGCTCCAAACAAAAGTAACTTTTCGGGACCAGTGCTCAATTTATTCGTTTGTCCCAGATGCACCATCGTCCAACGCCGTTGCCTACCCTGTCTTTAATAACTTCAACCACGTGTGTGGATTTGACAGTCGATAACAGAAGATGAGCATCGATTCCCTGCTCCAATGTTCGCATAAGAAGACTAGGAAACAACTTCTCACTTGCGTGAAATATGGAGTGAATCCCGTTCTCGCGAGAAGTCTGCGGGTTGGTCCCTGGATTTCTCCCTTGCTGCATTTGACCTGGGGCAGCGTGCGTGTCGGACGTCAACGTTCCAAGCCCGCTAGTATTGACAAGCATCACGGAAAGATAAGAGCTGTACATTCGTGACAATTGTGTTAAAGTCCGCAGTAAATTTGACAGAATGGCTGTTCCTCTGACTGTGGAGGAAGCTCGGACGACTCCTTCGGTAAGAGTGTCAAGTCCGGCAATGACGAGGAAAACGCGGCAGTCATTATCACCTGTGGATTCTACCTGACGAGTCTGCTGTGATTCCCATTCCTTTTTATACCTACACAGAGCATCGGAGACTTCACTTATCGCTTGTACAGCGGCAGCCATATCGAAGACAGGGAATAATTGGACAGAGTCCAGATGTGAGATTGCTTCATCGCGCGTCAAGGGTGACTGTTGAGATGCAGATAACAAAGACTCAAGGAGCCTTTGTGGAGAGAATATGTCGAGATTTGCAGGGTGGATTATATATGTTTTAGCACAAGAACTTGACGGCGATGATGTTTCACACAGCTGTGCTGCAAGTATTGATCGTGAAACCTAGCAAGCGATCATCATCAGTTGAGTTGATGTTTGTGGTGACAAGGAAGAGAGCAACGGTTGGAAAAGAGCAGAACGAAATAAATAGGAAGCTCAATACTTGGCCTAAAAATTCCATATCATCGTTTCCCTTGGCTTGGTTTCTTAGTTTCGAGAACCCAATTACGGTTCCTTTTCGGAAGACACTATGTGCAGGGCTTTTGAATGCTTTACGAATGTCATCCCTGAGATCCCAGGTTCCTGACGTAGAAATCTGACCGTGATGTGGTTGTGACAAAAGAGTATGGGCAAGAGTTGGGAATGCAGGCGCAGAACTGTATGGAGTAGAAGCAGAGGCCATATTAGAAATTAGAACTGATGAGTATGACGTGCTCGTACAGGGCGTTCCTGACAGAGAAACTATTTTGGCGACAGTTATGTTGAATTATTATGGCAGAACTATCGATTTCACTAAGAATCCACTGAGCAGACCTGGTGCACACTGGAGGTTGAGGTGTGGCATACTAGTACTAGCATCTTAGATGTCAAGAGGTAAAGACTGTATCCGAAAATTAACTCCATTCCACGTGCTCAGGCCTTAGTTTTAAGGCACCAATATCATATACATCGATAGGGAATAAGGGAGCAGGACCATTTCGGACCTGTATATGTGTAATGCTCCCTAACCCTGTATATATTTTCTTTGTACAACACATTTTCCTATACAAAAGCCCCATAGTACCGGTTCTTGAGAATCCCGGTCACATAAACCCAGCGCGTTTTGAAAAGCGGCATCGTCTTTGACCATATGTTAAGCAATGACTGTTTGTACAATGGTTTCCACTGTTGCTGGCGCACAAGCGGCGGAACATATGCTCTTCTTAGTCCAAGTCCCTTGGCCGTTGTGGGCCCATCCACTTTCGTCTAGGAGTTCATCCAGTATGGGGGATAACTCGGCCCGTAGAGGGTCGAATGCATAGTCGCAGGCACAAAACTCAGAAAGGCTGCCCCTGCTACCCAAGTTACTTACAGAATGCCCGATAAGCGAATAGCCTGTAGCGATTTCCATCCAAGGGTCACTAGGTCCATAGACCCCCTCTGTTCTAGCTCGGTAGCCTTGTCGCCCTCACACGGTGCTAACTGGACACTCAATGACCGTAAATTCTCCATCAGCTCCACTGCATTTAAGACTAATTTGACATGATTATAGAACGGGAATACGGCGGTGTACCGAAAGGACGTCAATTTGCTCAGTGCGGGGGGTGAGGTTAACTTTTGCGGACGAGGTTTAACGTGCGCTAATGAGCCCCATGTGTTGAACAGTGAAGGAACCTGAAACAGGAAGTATTCATAGTGGTTATACGCCTTGAGAGAAGAAGACTCGTTGAATAGCAGCGAGGACCATGATCGAGCTTCAAGTAGCGTGGAGCACTTTCCAAGATGCGATAGTGGTGGAGGGTCAGAGCTTCGAGTGTCCTGCTCTAACTGCAAGATCTGAAGTGGGGTTTGGAAAGCCCAGCTATGCCCCTCGAATATCTGCGCGCCTGTCATTTTGCCAATGAACGAAGGCGATGCAATGACTGCAATGCGCTGTGGATCAAGATAGGACAATGCCCGGCGCCACCAGAATGGATCCTCTCGATCATCCGAGGAGTCTTGCCCTTTGACCACGGCTGAACTTACATGTCGAGCTAGACTTGAATCGGATATAAAGGAGAGAAACTCATCTACATCCCGGAGATCAAAGCAAACGTGAGAGAATAATCGGGGTCGTGTGACCTCGAGCAAACGCGAAGAGGTGCATGAGAGGTTCTTCAGATCCCGGGTACCCGACTTGACGATATTACTGCTTGGCGGTTGGTGTAGCCTGGCTAATGAAGGGGGCGGATATGACAGATTGGAGATAATCTCGTCCAGAAGCTCATTCGGTAGAGCTTCCAACGATGATCCTCGAGAAACCATTATCGCATGCGGCATATCCTGCAAGAGGAAATTAGTGTCCCATGACTATCACATTTCGACTGCAGCTGCTAGAATTTTCATCGACTGAGCAGGGCGATTGATCTGTACTGCTTCAATGTCCGTGCCGTACTAAAAGATGTGACGGAGGTGGTCATATACTGTGTATGATGGTCGGGAAAGGAGGCCGACATCAACTGCCGTGGCGACCCCACATACGTCACACGAGCTCCGCCAACTCTTCCGGAGGTTTAAGGGAAACAGTTTCAAGACAGCAATAGACTCACCGATAACACGCTTTTAAGCTCTTTAAAAGGGGTTTCAAAGGACGATTCGTATTAGGAGCAAGGCTGAGTTCTATCCAAGGGACATGGAAGGTATGAATGTCATTGAGGAAGTTATGCAAGGGAGCTCTGGAGAATTGCGGTAAAACCCCTTCTGGATTGGGACGAAAGCCCCACATGTCCAATGTTGGTCTTTTTTAGCGTCCGCGCCAAGCATTCCACTCCAAGAGGACTCTCGATAGTAGAATCTACGGGATGGCTGTATATTCTACTTACGGAGTACGGTCAGTCGAACAAGTACTGTTGACGGATCAGTCAGTCAGTCAGTTACAGAGGGAGAGGTATTCCAGAAGGCAATGAATGTTATGTAACAGGGTACCATGGTTATCAAGTGCTTAGTCCACCCACCCACATCTAATCTTTAGATCTTTTTGCCTCATCTTTCTTACCTCCAACAAAGGAAAACCGGTCTTGTCAATCTCTGATCCTGTATCCTTTTCATCAACCAGGCCTCTCCATTGACATGATGTCAAGAGTCAACAACTCCCTGTCATTCTCTCCGTACTTCAAACATATCTATCATGGCAATACGCAGTACTCCATACCTCTTTCACAGCTCCACTACCTCCTCCTCCCCGAGTCAGGATGTGGAGAGAGCCTCTGCGGTGGGGCACTTCAGAGAACGTAGAAGCATTCGGCAATTAGTGAAAGGTTCGAGCCGCGGCGAAGGCGAATCGATGTGAAATAGAATTACTTTGCTTGGGTCCGAGTTCGGGGGTGCCCCTCCTCTGCTGTTTTAAGGCGTCCCGTTCTGCAATTGTCAAGGTTGTCTTTCGAAATACTGCTCAATCACTACCTTTGGCAATAGGTACGAACTAAAGAGACACTGGGACCATTTCAATACATACTGACCGAATCATCGCCTCAGGACTCTTCAATATGGCCCATCAGCTTCACCACAACCCCCCTTTCCGTGCCGAGCACCTTGGTTCGCTCCTTCGTACCGATGAACTGTTGAAGATAAAGACAGCCTATGAACAGGGGCAGGTCTCTGAGGCTGATCTTGCCGCTGTCGAGAACAAGGATATCAAGGAGATTGCTGAAACTCAGAAGAAGCTTGGCTACGCCGCCGTCTCGGATGGAGAATACCGCAGACACAGTAAGGGAGGACTTGGTCTTTTGTGTAGAAGGGCATGATGCTAACGATTAAACTTGTATCCAGTGTTCTGGGGATCTTTCTTCCCTGGACTTGATGGTTTTGAGGAAGTCAACGACATCGATGCCGATGTCTTCCGTCCCTATGCTCCCGATGTCGCTGCTTTCCTCGAAGCTGGACACAAGCCTGGTGAGAGTGTCATCTGTACTGGCAAAATCAAGCACGTCGGTAGCACCTATATCGACGAGTTCAAGTACATGGCGAGCGTCGTTCCCCCAGAGGAGGTCAAGAACATCAAACTCACCCTAGCTGCTCCTAACTGGTATCACTTGCGGTATAAGGAAGGCAAGGCTTACCCGAAGAATGTGTATGCCACCGATGACGAGTACTTCGGCGACATCGCCAAGGCATACCAGGATGAGCTCCAGATCCTCTATGATGCCGGTTGCAGGAATGTTCAATTTGACGACCCCAACCTTGCCTGTGAGTTGTCTTTCCATAAGCGTGCCTATGTTGAATTGAGAAAAATTGACAGACAATGCCGACAGACTTCTGCTCGGAGAAGATGCTTGCGGGCTGGAAAGCAGACCCATTGAATGTGATCTCTGCTGATGAGACATTCGAGAAGTACATCAAGCTGTATAACGATCTGCTTTCCAAGCGTCCCGCCGATTTCCACGTTGGTGTACACATTTGCCGTGGTAACTTCGTCGGTAGCCGTCACTTCTCTGAAGGTGGATATGACCGTATTGCAACCAAGCTGTTTAAGGAGCTCAATGTCGACACATACTACCTCGAGTACGACACCCCTCGCGCCGGTGGCTTCGAGCCACTAAAGGAACTTCCTACGCACAAGAATGTCATTCTAGGTGTCGTGACCAGCAAGTTCCCCGAGCTTGAGGACAAGGAAGAAATGAAGAAGCGCGTCTACGACGCCGCTAAGTTCATCGCGGAAGGCAACAACATCTCCGTTGAGGAGGCGTTGAAACAGGTCGGTGTTAGCCCACAGTGTGGCTTCGCGAGCCACAGAGAAGGCAATGCCATTGACCGAAACGGCATGATTGCCAAGCTGAAGCTTGTCCGGGAAATTGCCAATGACATCTGGCCTGGTGAGCTTTAAGTAGGTATGGTTGTCGCTTGATGTCGATTTTCAACAATGAGACACACTCGGGCTGGGTGACCGGCGATGTATTTGTGTGTATGAACGTGACGAAGTTATGTCTTTGTACAGAGTTGACCAATACCCCCGATTGGGATTAGTGGGTTCACTGCTGGATATGTATATACCTGATCAATAATAAATGATTCAACTCAGTTCATAATGTTCAATGGTCTGCTCGGCGGTTAATATAGTAATCATAAGGAGAGGACCTTGGAAGCCAACAACATCAAGCCACCATTTATACATCCTTAGCTAGTGGGTCCAAAGTCAATCTCGCTGTTAGCAGTCTCATCATGTAATGTCCCGCATGCTGCAGTCAGACAATCAGGACTGGTCTTATCCTGTTGAATCTTTGGGAATGTCATGTGCCCAAGCATGAAACGCTGCAGTCGGGATTTCCGAAACAGACGTTGGGCTTAACGTTAATGGACCAGGAAAGGCTTTGACTTGGCTAGGTAAATATATTCAGTGTGGATGATAGCGCAACTCACACATACTAGACATCTTTTCATTTCAATGCTGGCTTGTGCAATTTCACATTCATACATCGAATATGGAACCGGAGAGTCGTCCACAATCAAACTCTCTGGAAACACGCAATCATGGCCGTACTTGGTATAGACTCATAAAAATTTTAAGAAACTTTTACTCTAAGTGAAGCAAGCACGTAGACCCGTATCTTCTCATATGTCTAATCCATGGTCGAGTTATTCGATGCACAGCTGAAGTGAAGCTTTATGTCAGTATCCCTCAAGCCACTAGCAGGCGAAAATCTAGCGGAACTTGCTAAAAGCTATCTTTCTCTGTTCCAGCCGAATTCTAGCTGAGATCAATTTCTTTAATTCCTACCAACCTCGCTGCTCTGGCGAGTGACATGGGAGTATTGTCTTGGTTGACATACTGGATATTTGGTTTGGAGATGAATGGATATTTCTGTTCGAGGATATGTTGGCGGCGGTTGATATAGGGTATAGGGTATAGGGTATAAAAGGGGGTTTGGCAAGTTGTATATGCCTGGCAGACCTAGACTAGACGACGAGGACTTGTGTCACTAGTTGACATTCCTAGATAGCAATTCATTTCAACAATTATGCCGTTTCACCCTCTTTGTATGGGTGGTCCCTATTGTTCATTTGAATGCGATTGTTTTATATACTAGTGCGAAGCTTGAAAATGGGGTCCATTTGATTCGTTATGGGAATAGGAGGTCGGTAATTATGATTACTTTTGGTTAGTATATACTAGAAGGTTTCAATAGCTCCCGCCCACCCTTGCATATAGGCTAAATTATGGCTTGGCTTTCGATATATGGACGGCCGTGGTGAAGCTTAGCAGGAGGTGCGGTTTTCGAGTCCGGGTAGCATGGGGTCCTTTGCCAGGCTTTGGTATCAGGGGTATGGACGATTTCACTTTGTTGTCAGTGTACATGTGATTGTATGCATTTTCAACAATGAATTGAAGACGTGGGTAAGACAAGTTTCGTGTGTATGTTGGTCCAAATTTCTCTCTATTTGCAAGATGTTTCTACTCAATGCGAAAGCAATGCGTCGAAAGGAGAAAGGCAGTCGACAGTAAGGGGGAAGGATTAATTAAAAAAGAGTATATAAATGGCCCGCATAGAAACAGTGAGGGATATCATGAGAAGGTAAGGAAACGAAAAGTAGATCAAGAAATGGGCAAAGCATGCGCACGAAGTGAAATGTAAACATACTGCAAATGCTGCGTCTTCTGTCATCAAAGCGGACATGAACGAAAGAGGCCGAACGAGATAAGGAAATATTATACACGAGAGCCATGCAATTGGGGTCCCTGGATTTACAGCGCAAAGGATGGACGGCGGGGATGGAATTATTTTTGGGCCGGCGTTTTCACGTTGTTGGAAAGCCAAGCCTGCAAGAAATTCCATGTCAGAGATTGATAGAGGACACCAAAAGTAGAGAGGTGAAACTTACAAGTCCTTCGAAGATACCAGTACCCTCGGTAGCAACGCTAGGCGCGACATACCATAGCTTGTCCTTTAGCTTGTTGAGTTGGAGCGCATTGGTAACGTCTTCGGGGCTCATATCTGCGGGGAGTAAATTAGTGGGCGCAATGTCCTGGTGGTTCTCAAGATACGTACGGCCTTGAATATCTTGTTTGTTAGCGAACACTAGGAGAAGAGCATCCTTCATTTCGCGATCATTGATGATCTTGTGAAGCTCGGAACGAGCCTCCTCCATCCGGGCCGTATCACTGGAGTCAACGACGAAGATCAAGCCTTGCGTTCCTATAAAAATACCGACAAGGTCAGCGTTTATCGTCGCTAGCTGGTTTACCTGAGCGGATTGCGATGGGCCATACCGGAATAGTAGTGTCTCCACAGTGGCCGGATCTTGTCCTGGCCACCGACATCCCACACATTGAACTTGACATTCTTGTAGGTTACACTTTCGACGTTAAACCCAACAGTGGGGATGGTCGTGACCTCCTGGTTCGTGAGTTTCAGCTTGTAAAGGATTGCTGTTTCACACGCGCATCAGCTTCTCTAATCCTTTCCATAGCACACGGCGAGGTGACCCAATTCAGGGGTGCAGACTTACTCGTCTTTCCAGCAGCATCCAAACCCAACATCAGAATCCGCATTTCCTTCGTTCCGAAGATCTTCCCCATTAACTTGGAAACTTGACCACCCATTTTGGCGAGGGGTTATTGACTCCTGAGGTCACCGACAGTGAAAGCGTAAAAGAGAGGTGGTGTTATTGTTGATTGAGCGCAGAAGTTCTCAATCGTGTTTTGCGATCGGAATTAGGACCGGGTTTCAATTGCGGTTGAACACGAGCAGGGGGGTGGAGGGAAAAGCGTGAGAAATTCCGCTGTAAGGTCGATTACTCCGTGCTGTCAATCTCCGCGTCAACCAAGGCGATCTCAATCAAGACCGTCGCAGGAGAGGACGCAAGGTGAACAAGAGACAAATCGAACTTACCTTGTCGGCGAAGGGGAGGTAGCAGAAGAAAAAGTAAAGAAAGGAAAGAGGGAGGGAAAAAAAAAAAAGCAACACACAGGCTGAACCAAAATGTAACGATAGAAAAGAAACGAGTGAATGTGGCAGAAGGAGCGAAAGTGAAATGAATAGTTTAATTAATTGGGCCCAGAGTTTCAAGAGGCGACGATCCACACGAGGAGGGACGACGAGGGTCTGCGCGCTGGGCAATTGAACTCGGACTCCGTAAAAGGGGCTGCCGCATGACTAAGCCCCGCGATTCCTGCCAAGCATCTCGGTTGTTTCACCCGTAAGCAGTTCATCTTCATCGTGATGGCAATAGTGCCGGTTCCATGGCCCCACGGCCCCTGTTTCCCCTCCCCGGTAAGTAGTATCTTCCTCAATCGGCATTGTGATTTCATGAGGAGGGAATCAAAATCGAGAAACTGAGATCAGGCTCTGGATCCCGGTTGTACTTTGTCCATACTCATACCATTCAAAGCTCCGAAGCGTTTCTTTTCCGTCGGGTGCAACCACGCCTGGTCTCCATGGTGTGACATTCCCCGACCTTCCTGCGCGAGCCTTGTCGGCTTGTGCTTCTGTTCCTCCTTATCCCCTCATGAGGCGTCTGTAGTGAGACTTGCGTGGTCCGATGAACATGTGCGTGTGTACTCGTCGTACTTCGACAAATGTAATTCTTGATTGATGCCTGTCACGGGCGATGCTGTACTCTGTACGTCATGGGCCGAGAATCATGAGGTCACCGGACCGCCGAATCCCAATCTCAATTCACCCCAGGTTTTGGGACAGCAAACAAAGCAAAAAGTCCTGTGGCATGAGGTTTGCATCCTCTATCTATATATATATGTGGTTTATCTAGTCTTGTTAGACAATTCTCAGTCTTCCACTTTCTTCATAAACCATTTCGTACTGCATCCATTCTCGTCCAGCTCTATATAGTATTCATAAATTAATCAAGTGAGCCATGGATGACGATTCGAACGCCATATTACGTCGTCGCTCGTCTCTGCGTCAGCAGCGTCGTCTCTCTCTACAGCATGAAAACAATTCCTGGCTGCGCCTCCCTCTGGGGTATGTAAATTTGCTTCATCAGTTGAGTTTTGCAAGCCCTAACTTCTTCGTTTCACCAGACCATCTACGCTGGTCTATCGACGTTAGTCGAGGACGGAACGGTGACAATTGCAATCGCCATTCGCGATACCACCTATCTCTTAGACTTCATTCAAGAATCGCTCTCCCTAAAAGATGGCCAGTCGTTATGCCCCGTGCTGGAGAAATTCGTGATAAACCAATTGCAAGAATGGAGTGACGTCCATATGGAGAAATTCATTGGTCTAGCAATGCCAGAGCGCATCGCGAAAAAATGCCCCAGCCTGTGCTCAAGGCTCTGGGCTGAGCTTGATATCATACCTCTAGTACTCCCCGAAGGAAGTAGAAGGGAGGGTGATGATAAGTTCACTTTTGGCATCCCTGACAGCAAGACCTGGAAGGTTAGAGGCATTGACGAACAGGCCGAATCAATGGGCCGCAAATGTGTTCGGTAAGAAGGGTCTCGGTTCACGGTGATATGACAAATGCTGAAGCTGTCTAGTTTGTTTGGCCCAGAGAATATTCCTCTGCTTCAGGTCGGCTTCCTTGGTATAGTAGAGGTCGACACGGCATTCCATGTGCGCTTGACCAACCTGGAGGACTTTGAGAAAACGGTTTATCCTAAGACCTGGAAGGCAATTCAACATTATGCGAATGACCTCAAGGAAAGAGAAACGAAAATTGCCTTTTTCAGTGCCACCCCTCAAGGTGGAGGTGTAGCCTCATGAGACATTCTCTTGTGAGATTCTCTTATTCGTTGGGAACCGATATCACATGGTAAGACTCAATCGTAGAATTGCTTGGCTTTCTCCATGGTAGTCGGGCGTCAACTGACCCTGTGGTCTAGGTACGTGCCCAAACCACGGCCGGGCGTCTTCCGTGTAACCAAAAACAACCACAACATTTTGCAGGGTGTCGCTTCCCCTGAGGAGAGGTTGAGCGAGGAGGACTGGGCACAGGTGACGGAGTGGGTCAATGAAAATGCGAAGAGATACTGGTTGATCCCCGGAGGCCCTCTGCAACACCCCAAAGACGGGGGTGCCGACGTGGTCATCATTGATGACCCGCAGATGCCCGCGTTAATTCCCATTGCGAAGCAAATCGCTCCGGACCGACCGGTTATCTTTCGCAGTCACATCCAACTTCGCAGTGACTTGATTGACGAACCGGGGACTCCGCAGGCAGAAGCTTGGGGGCGAATCTGGGAATACATAAAACTTGCAGATATCTACATTAGTCACCCCGTGAAGTCCTTCGTGCCTAAAAACGTGCCCCGAGAGAAGGTGGGATACATGCCTGCGTCGACGGACTGGTAAGGCAGTACCTGGTGCCACTGAAGAATGTGACTGACAAGCCCTTTTAGGTTGGACGGTCTGAACAAGAACATGCGAGAATGGGATATTGCCTACTATGGCCGGGTTTTTAACTCCTTTTGCAGAAACTCGGGCATGCCCACGATTGACTACCCTGAAGGTGCGATACTGCTACCCACGCAGTGCAGTTACGTTGAAAGTTTGTAAACTGACATATAGCGACATGAAAACAGATGAATATATCGCTCAGATTGCACGCTTTGACCCGTCGAAGGGCATTCCAGAGGTTGTAGAATCGTACGTGAAATTCCATCGGCGGTTCACCGCTGCGTTTCCCGACAGACGGGCCCCCAAGCTGCTGATATGCGGCCACGGCTCTGTTGATGATCCAGACGGTACGGTGATCTACGATGCAGTAGTCACCCACATCGAGGAAAACCTCCCGGATCTCGCCGAGCAGATTTGCGTTGTGCGACTGGGTCCGTCAGATCAGCTGCTAAATGCCCTTCTCTCCAAGGCTAAGGTGGCTCTACAATTGTCTACACAGGAAGGATTCGAAGTGAAAGTGTCCGAAGCCATTCACAAAGGAACACCAGTCATCGCAACCAGGGCTGGTGGCATCCCTCTTCAAGTGGCTGACAAACAGAATGGCTTCCTCGTGGAGGTGGGGGACACCGACGCCGTGGCCCAGCATTTGTTGGACCTCTGTACGGACGATGAGCTGTACGAACGCATGCACAGGTTCGCACTCAACAATGTATGCGACGAAGTGAGCACCGTCGGCAATTCACTGAATTGGCTTTACATGGCTTCAAAGCTGTCCAAGTCCGAAGAGATTAAGCCGAACGGGCGATGGATCAACGACATGGCTCGCGCCGAGGCGGGCCAAGAGTACACCAGCAATGAAAGCAGATTGGTGCGGGAGCTTTGCCCCCAGAATGGTGTGAACGGGCACTAAAGCCAGATCGATGATATGTTCTGGCTTAAATAGGTGGATATTAATGATCGTGAACGAATCTCCACTCGTGGACGTCAGGTAGCTAGAAGTCATTCGTTGACCATTTGGATGTATGAATTCTCGAGATGTAAACCAGACGTGGTTAAACCATATCAAATGAAATCTATACAGAAACACTCTAAACAACCGGGGGGGTATAAGAACAACACCAGAAAACAAAGAGATCAAAGCACAATCATCACACATCAAAGCCAACCATCTCTACCTCCCAACCAACCGATACCTCTCCCTAGCCATACCGCCCTCGGCCCCCTCAACCCCATACCCCTCACCAACCTCGCCGACAATCCTCGCCGGCGCACCACCAACAACACACCAACTCGGCACCACCATGCCCGGTGCAACAACCGCCCCGTCAAGCACATACGCGAAATCCTTCAAGATAGCCATACTCCCAATCACCGCATCCCTCCCAATATGCACATGGTTCCCCACACTAGCCGCCTCCACAACCGCCCTCTCCCCCACAAAAACATGGTCCCCAATCTTCAGCGGATAGAACGAATGCACGCCCCGATGTAGCCTGGACGGGGGCCTCAGCACAGCCTGCTTCGATATATAACTATAGCGCCCGATGGTAATAGCGACGGACGGCGACGACGACGACGACGACGTCGACGGCTGCTGTCCCGCCTGGTCGCCGCTTGCGCTGGAACTAGTGGATGTACGGTACAAGTCGCCCCGAATGACAGCTTCGCCCTGAATGACCGTTTTCCCGCCGAGGATGATATGCTGGGTTCCATGAATTTGAGACCGGCGGGAGATTTTGTTCCCGGTGTCCTATCGCGGGGGTTAGTGGGTGCGCGTGGGGTTGGGTTGGGTGGGGAAGGGATTGAGTCTCGGGGACGTACTGTTTCGATGTACTCGCCCTTGGCGACTTTGGGGGGCATTTTGGGGTAGGTTGTGTGCTTCGAATTAATTGGTTTCAAAGGTGGAGGTTTGTTGATGCTGATGGGGTTCATACAGCAAGGTTGATGTGTTGGGCGGTGAATCGCTCTGGAATAAATTCCGCTCTGGAGCTCAGGCGGTGTGGACTTTTTTTTGTTTACGATATTGTCTCCGCCTTTGGGCGGTAACCCTTTGGCCTCAATCCGCGCTACTGCACAGAGTAAGTGGAGCCGAGTCTTCGGGACCTTGTCGATGAGATAGGGGGTTCTTGAGGCGAGTGTCCTGTACCCCTTATCTATGTACCCAATGGGTCTGTTCGAGGTGGAGAATTGTTTAGGGTGGTTAAAGAAAAATAGATAAGTACGGAGTAGTTTGTTTATTTTATTACGGAGTACTTAGGGGTGACGATGAAAAGGCCACGATTGTGCGTGGCTTTTGGAGGGAGAATCGTGGTTATTTCACCTAGCGCTCTGGACATCACGGCGGTAGCCAAACAAGGCTTAGCGTGCCGCCACTACCCTATACCCTACATCCAGGAATACGGACCCGCGTAGGTGTATCAACCCTGTCAAAATCGTCCAATGCATACAATGACAGAGTTAATCAAAAAGATGAGTGTCGAGGGTGGGATAGTATGAACCTATAGTATGTGGAAAAAGATCGAAATGAACCGTGTCAAGGGGATCTAGAACGGTTAGCTGGAGCTATACTATAGTTATACTATAGACCAATCGCAAGAATGCCCCGGATGCCACACTACCTCGATGTATAAGCTACCCAAGACGACGAGTTCACTTACCTATAGAGGGAACATGCTGACTTTGTCCAACACCAGCCCAAGATCGCTCATTTAAGACAAGCTGTTTAAATACGCCTGGTGGGTAGAGCCAACTAAGGCGAGAGTCCAGCGTAAGGTCAGGTTAGTGGCGCGATTGCCGATGCTTCCTTCTCAGTTACCATTGCCAGCATGAAGTATCTTTATCCCAGTCACTATCACGTTCATCCGTAGAGGGGTCCGGCTTGGCGAGATCGAAATGCGCAATCCAGTTGGCACCGAACATAATCGGACGTTCGGGATTGCCGGCCTTCTCAAAGGGTCCGATAAAGTAGCTATATGAAGTAGATTAGTAAGTTCGTCACCTTTTCGTTGGGATAATATAGCAATAACGTACAGTGTTTGCGTCTCCTGGTGCCAAACTAGGCTGCTTGCCCCGCACACACGGGGGAACCACCCGTTCTCATGCAGCTTACTACGTAGTCGACAATGATTAGATCCAGTATCGAACACAGAAGAAACATCAACTTACGGTAGAGCCTTAAGAAAAGCCGAGCGAACCTGCTCCCTTTCGTAGAATTCAAGAGCCCAAAATGGGTCAGCGCCACTGCCGTCTCCGAGGCGCAGCCCTGGGACGATCTCCCACACAAGCCAGATAATGAACCCACCCGGAACTAGCCCCGAGCGATCCTGTTTATCGGTCTTGTATCCGAGAAGATTTGGTGTGTCACTCGAGCTCTTTTCAGTGAGGTCCCGGTAGGCGATCAATTCTGGAGGGTTGTATGTTGTGGCTTGTCGGCTTCTGGTATCCGCATCATCCATTTCAGTCTTCCGATGGGGAACTTGAATGTAGATGCGCATGAGGGCTTTCTTAGTCGGGGCTCCAGGATCGCAGCATAGATATTTAGCCGAGGCGAAAGAACGGAAGCCATACTCATCGTTTTCCTCCTCGTTAACCTGATAGTCATGCTCGTTCAACTTCTCAAGAATCTTCCACCGGGAAGGGACGGGTTGGTTAAGGGTAATTATAGTTCCAGGGTTAGGGCCCTGACGAAACCAGGCTGAGTATGAGGACGACATTGGAGTTGCTTTGGATGCTTTAGAGGCTGAGAGGAGTATTGTTGTGAGGCTCTTATGTGGGGCAGACTGACAGCTCCTTGCGCTAGCCGTACTGGGAGGTGGATTCAAGTTAAGTTAACTATCTACGGTTAACTCTACTTTATAGAAACACGCACCATAAGCGTAACGCGCAGCAAGGCGCTAAACCCTAAATGGCACACTAAACTCTTTTGCGTAATTCATGAACAGGTGATGTTGAGCTTGAACCCCTGACCTGCAAAACATTCAACATTTCCCGATCCAAGACTCTGCCCATCAGCCCTGAGGGAAGGAACAGTTGGCCCCGCCTGCTGTGGATCAACCCTCCTAAATCACAAACCCATTCCCGACATGTATTGTTGATTCCCTCCCCCAACCACCCCCTGCAGCTGGATCTATCACCCTATTGCAAGGCTACCATTACCAACCCACGAAGCCCGACTCACTCCAAAACACAACTAATGATTTCAACCCGTCCAAAATACGAAGGGCAAGACAACGGATACCACCGGGAAAGAACTGCGGACTGACCATCCGACTATAAAACAATAGTATGCGACTAGCTTCATTTTATGAAAATACAAATCCGCTCATTGGAGCCACACCCTTTCCTTCAGGTAATTATGTAAGACAATACTCGTAAAACAAACCCGAAGTAAACCTGGCAAAAAGGGAAAAAAAAAGGAAAATTCTAAGATATCCATCGGGATAAGACAGGTCATACGGGGACGGTCCCAACTGCGCGCAGCCTGTCATATTTCGAGTTTGATACATTGTCTGGTGGGGATGGGCGCGCTAGGTATGCGGTCGATATTAACCTGGCTTGAGTGGCATGATACCCCAATTGGGGGTCCGGGGCTCTATGCAGAACGGTATGCGACCTGTCTGATGGGTGAGATGATTCAATTTCCTAGGACGGGATGCATGGGTTTGAGGGAGAGCTGTCGGTGAGATATTGTACACTTAGGGTTAACTCGTGCTTGGGGATTGAGTTTCTACCCGGTTGGCCTTGGAATGTATTAGTTCGGTGGGGAGAAGAGAGTATGGCATTTGCCTGCTTGTGTAATACTACGCTCGACACTGATGATGAGGAGCCTGGCGTAGCATGAATTAGGCCTTGAAACTGTCTTCAATAGGGACTTGGACACTCTAAAAGGGAAATGGGTAAATGGACGATCGAACTACAGCGAGCAGATATGGTTAGGACAGGATTACGGACAAGCTATACAGGGTTGAGAGATATGACACCTCTAATAATATACTTATAACACGTTCGACAAACTCAGAACCAGCGTTGTGATCAATTTTGCGTGGTAAAAACAAATAACTAACACTGTTGCTACATTTGTAGTATATAATTATGATGTCAATATCATCCAACTAAAACAGCATACAAGTTCGAACGGAACTAGGATATCTCGCAAACCCATATTCAAATACAATATAACGCGTTATTCAGTCTCGGTGTTCAGGTCAATCCCAAAAAGAACGGTGATTTAGGAAGTGAGGCGCTTCTTGGGGGCGGGAATTGCACCATCGAAGTGGACCTTGAAGGCTGCGGAGAGAGCAGAGGTTAGTTTCCTTCATAGCATACCAGGGGCTGTACCAGGGATGACTTACTCGTTGGGAATGGAGAATAGCTTCCCCAATCCTCTCGCAGATAGACGTAGTAACCGCCCTCACGGTGGATCTTCTTCAGCTGACCCTGGGGGCCGGGCGCACGCCGAAGGTTGTCCAAGCCGCCGACAACACGTAACATAGACGTCAAGGCAAGCAAGGTCGTTTCCTTGCCCAAGCCAGTATGTGGGCCGAGACCGTACTGGATGTAAGATTCCAGAGGGCGGTCCAGACGCACTTCATTGGGATCGGGGAAGACCTGAGGATCACGGTTGGCTTTGACCTGTTGGACGTTAGCCATGTCACAGCTGCGAGCTTTGCGAGACAATAGAGAAGTCACTTACAGCACCAACGAATACTATGTCGCCACGCTTGATGTTGACATCACCGGTCTCATCAGTCATGAGGAAGTCAGCCTGAGCTTCACGGTAGGATCCAAAGGTTCCATTCAGACGGAAGCCTTCCAGGCAGTAGCGCATCAACTTGTCTTCAGAATCTTTGCTCTCCACCTTGGCAAGGCGGTTAATCTCAGGGAGATGCTCCTTGCCCTCCGAAAGATAATAGTCGATGATTTGGGTAAACTGTTTATATGTGTTAGCAGCGAGCACCGTAGCAAGAGTAGATGGGAGCTTACCATTTGGGCCTGGTTGTGCACCATTGCCACGGCTGCTGGGAGAACCTGAGAATAGGTGACATCGGAAACACCCAAGCCACTTTCCAGAAGCTTTTTGATCAACTGATCACCGTACTCCTTCAAGGCGTTGTGATCATTGTGACGATTTCCAATGAGGCCACTGAGGAATCCAGGAGAACTGATGGATTTGACGTGACTCTCAACGGAATGACCCAGCTGCTGAGACACGGCGCGAGCCGCGTGATGAAGAGAGAAAGACTTGGTCTTGTCGACATCGAAGAAAATGCTAGTAAAGATCACTGCCATACTCATGAAGGTCTCGTTCTCGGTGAAGACTCCACGCGAATTCCCCTTGGTCTTCAAAGGCAGAGAGAACAGCTTCGAGGCAAAATGAACAGGCGCTAGGTTTCCAATACTACAGACGTGGTCAGCTCTTGTACTGCGGTCGTACTGTTGATCAAGGTAACTTACTCCCGAGTGATATCAACTTGCTTGATTCCCGCAAGATTTCCGGACTTTTCTTGCAGAAGCTTGGCAGTGATGTCTTCATAGAATTCCTTGATGCTGTTACGCCACTGGTCATTGTTCAATGACTTGCTCCAGAAGTCATCGCCTCCCTTAGCAGAGGTGAGCGGAGTATTGCCGCTCCAGACCACGCGGAAGTCCTCTTCACGTTCCAGAGCCAGCTTGACATTGGGATAGGACACCAAATTCCCATGGGGAGGGGTGAATGACGGGCGTTCGTAAGAGTAGTGAGATTCCCTTCCCAGATCCTTCATAATCTTCCTGTTCTCACTGGGGATTGTCATGGGATAATGGGCATAGATGGAATCAGGCTTGAACCAATTCGGGAAGGCTCTGGTCGCAAGCTTGTAGAAGACACATCCTTGGTTGACGTTCAGGTCGTAACGAACCTCATTGTATCCCCAGTTAGTCAGGTTCCGGGCATTATAGTCGACCTATAGTCTATGTTAGATGAATGGTATTATGATCCCATGAAAAGGACAAACTTACAGTGTAGAAACGGTCACCACGGACAAGAGCCACAGCGTCAGACAGAACCGCACGAGAGATCGTATATGTAGGAGCAATTCCAACACCAGGTACCATAGGCTCCTTGGCTTCCTCAGAAACAATACCGGGGTACAGTTCTACGTAGTCTGGATGTCCATAAAGATGTTCGAGGGCCTCCGCAACTTCTTCGTTGCGGTTGATCTCCTTAAACGTTTCATATGGTTTCAAGCCGAAGAACTTGCGGAATTCGTTGAGGGAGCCAACATTCCACCTACGCGCCTGGTTGATACCCAGAATCTCGACTGCCCGAAGGCACTTGGGCACGTTCCGTGCGCCAAAGGAACCTATTGAACCATGTTTAGTATGTATGATTCAACACTTATTCGCTGGGTAGGGGACTCACCGGCAACATCCTCAGTTGCATTAGCGAGAATGTTTACGAGTTCTTCGTCCTTGAACGTGCCATCCTCTTGACGTTGAAGGTGGGCGAAAGTACGCTCCGAAGGGTCTTTTGAAAGACTCCGGTCGTACTTGCCAAGCCCCTTTATAAGGTCTTGGATTGATACTTCCTCAGCGGGCTTTCCCATCAGCTCCTCATAAATCTGCTCCGTCCATTTCTCGTCGTTGGCGCTGATGGCAGAATGCCAGCGATAGGCAAGATTGAACTCCACAGAGCATTGGTTACCCAGGCCAGATGGCGTGGGATCGCTGCCCTCCATTTGTGCTCGTGGATCCTGTTTGTGATTAGATCTCCTCGCAATGTCGAACAAGAATGTGAACTCACCAGGCACCACGTGCTGTTAACTCTGTTCAAGTTGACGATTGTACGCAGGTAATCATATAAGGTGATATTGATATACAAACCACATGTGACTCTGTAGAATGTTAGAAGGCTCTAAACCTGAGTGGGGTAGAATAAACATACAAGCGACCTGTCTGGAAGAGATCTTCATCGTATTTCGCCCACGCCTTCTTGAGCTGTTCTTCGCTAAGGTTCGGGTTAGGCTGAGGTTGGTGAAACGACCATTTTCATTGATCTCGGCCAGTTGTTCTACCACATGGTTGTGGAACCTAATTCGTACTTCTACATCAGCATAACACCATGCAACTCAAGCGAGGACGACTGACCTGTTCAGCATGACTAGCATAACGCAGCAGGCAGGAGGGAAAGCCTGAAGTCGAGGTTCGGAAAACGAATCAGGCTTCAGTTTGCCATCCTTATGTGTACGAACCAAGTCTTGCTCTTCTTGAACATCACCATATAAGATAGAGAGATCTAGGTAACCTGAAGTTTTGTTCATATGGGGGTTCCTGGGGTCGGTCTGGAAAATGTCTAGTAGAGCGTTAATAGGGAATCATGGAGTTGCGCCGTCCGTAACTGTCAACTCACCGTGAATGATCAAAGAGGCCCAGTCGAAGAAAAGACTTGAAACTTTGTTCGGGTGAGGGGTGAACTTCTCACGAGCAAAGAGACAGTCAAAAACCAAGCCCGCATCAGGTAAGCCACCTGGCTGGATTGTAAGGGGAGGGATAGACCTCGCATATGGTGTGTTGGCAGCGCCCAGCCATGGCAAGGTAGGGTTGTTATTGGAGCCATCGGCAGATCGGTAGGAATATTCGGGGCCCACAAATCTATACCATTATTAGTACCACCCGAATCGAGCGCCAACAGCTTCTTGCGTCAAAGAAACTCACGAGAGCGGGGGATGGGGCAGGG